ATCCACAACCCCTCCTCATCATCGTGCAATAACAAGTATCAACCTATACATGCCCTTCTGATTTTATTCTACAAGAGGGAGGAGTAGATCCAAGTGGCCTCACTTTTCTAGTGGCAGAGCCTTCCTGGAGTAGCTGGAACCCGGCAGTGATGGGACCCATCCATACCAATGATGAGCACCCACTATCTGTTGGGTTTTTAATGCACGTTCCTGGGGTTTGGGAGCTACTTGGGATTTTCCTAACTCTTTAGAAGTGGGTATTTGACTATAGAGTATAATTTTTTTAAGATTTTTTATTTATTTTTAGAGAGAGGAAAGGAAAGGGAGAAACATTGATGTGAGAATGAAACATCGATTGGCTGTATCATGCATGCCCCCTACCAGGGATGGAGCCCACAACCCAGGCATGTGCCCTGACCAGGAATCAAACAGGCAGGCAACCTTTTGGTGCATAGGATAATGCTCAACCAACTGAGCCACTGTGGCCCTGTGTTTTTTGATTGTTTATTTTTGGGTATATTTTTTTTAATTCATTCAAGTATTTACTGAGCAGCTAGGGAGATACAAAGGTGTTTAAAACATGGTCAAAGAGGTGAGGCAAATGAACAAGTAGAGTAGAAAGGAAAGTTCACTGAATCACAGCAGCCAAAATAAAAGTGCTTTGGGAGATTAAGGTGAGATTGCTTTCAGCCCGGAAGGGGGCATGGGTGGGTGATAAGTCAGGAAAGGGCATTGAGATTAAAATAGAAGACTTCAGTCTGGACTGTTGATGATGCTCAGCAAGGACTATATTTATGTCTCCTTTTCCTCTTTCCCCATCTTTGGGCTTAATTTACTAGTAGTGCCAGGATTATTTAATGTATTTTTTCAATACTTGCTTTGCTTTAATGCCTTCTACAGAACTAGGTGCTTTCAGTGTTTTAGGAGATTTTTGCTTTAACGCCTTCTACAGAACTAGGTGCTTTCAGTGTTTTAGGAGTTTTTTTGTTTGTTTGTTTGTTGCTGTTTTTTTGAAGGATACTTGACTGTTTGATCTTGGTGTTGATGGTTTTGAGTCTTTTCCATTCTGGTTTGATCTTTGTGTTTGACTGGAGTATCTTGTGCAAATTTCTTTACTGGAGATTTTTCTTCAGCTTTTTCTTCTTCATCCTCATCATCTTCATCATCTTTTTCATCATCATCTTCATCAGCAGCAACTTTTTTCTGTGAAACTTTGCTAGCACTTTCAAGGGCAGAACACATTCTGGATATACTTAGAAGTTTTACATCCTCCTCTTCATCTTCTGACTCTGCATCTTCCTAAGTGCTGTGCACGAAGATGCACGGGCCCTGAACCACACTTCAACCGTAAGACCACAGGGGGTGTTATTTCAAAGCCACCAAAGGAAACCGTGAGCTGTGCAGACATTTCCAGGGTTGCAGTGTGAACTGTCATTGGACTGCCTTCGCAGTTCATCGCCTCTGCTTCACAATGTGCAGTGCCTCCTTTGCACCAGCCCCTAAGCTGGCCGCTCATAAAGATGATCGGTGCTCCTTTTCATCATTATCCACCTTAAAGTGATCATCTTTGTCAGCCTTGAGTTCACAACTGAAAAGATAGTTCTGGGGCCTCAGAGGGCTCATGTCTATGTCCATCAAATCTTCCATGGGGTGGTAGCACGCACTTAGCAGGGAGAGAAGGTGGACAGAGATAAATGACTTCTGTTCCCCAGAACAGACGCATAGGATGGAATCGCACCAGGGAAAACTCTCCCTTATTTTCCTTCAGCCCTTGACCAACTGCTTTTGTGGGCAAGAATCATGGGGTGAATACTGTTAGTGTTTGTTATTTCTGTAATTGTCAGAAGTGGTGGGCAACCTGGCTCTTTGAAACGTGGAGAAATAAGTACCTTGTAGCACAAAAAAATATAAAAAGGAATTGTGGATGGCATTGTCAGAGGTAAGAATTGGGCAGGTTATGTACCTACTGCCTCATTATTTTGGGCTCTCCGACTGGTACATTTGCAGACCACAGGCTACTGCCTGGCATCCGGTGGCTTTGGGCAGCTCTTGGGAAGGCATACATGGACCTGTTGCTCTGTTCTTTCTCTGCAGTTTGCTGTATTAAGCCTTTAACATTTTCTCTTAAGTTTTATATGTGTGTATGTGTATGTCTGTGTGATCTTCAGATACTCCATATATAATCTTCACGTATTACCACTGATAGGACAATGTGAAGCTGCCAACATTGTCTAAACACTCCATTAAAAGCACAAATAAAGCATTATCTGAAGAATGGTCAGTATTAGTATGAAAACTGAAGGCTGTTTTGTTAATCCAAAGGAGCATGAATTGACAGAGGGTCTCCGCCAATGTTTATAGATGATACCTGCCCAGAGGTGGTTATCAGGGGGCCTCAGCAGAATCCCACAGATGAAGGCTTGGTACCAGCTGTCCCAGGAGGTTGGGCAGGAACAATAGTCTGAGGACCTGAGGTGGCAGTGTGCTTAAGCACACCAGCTCCCATGTCTCCCAGGGGCCCGAGGACGTATGTAAGAGTACAGATTCCAGAACCCTGCCCCACACAGTGGGACCCCCAGAGCCTTGTGCCCAGAGCACAGGGGCTGTTTCTATAGAGAAAGATGGAGACACCGAAGGACTAGATTCTTGCCCTGGGTCTGCAGCAAATTCGGAATGTGATCTCAGGTCAATCCCTTACCCTCTGGGTCTCCATTTATTCTGTTTTAAAATGAAAACAATTCTACCTGGTTATCTTCCTCAGGATTGCTGGGTTACTCCAGTGAGAGGGAGGGTGGGAAGGGAGCATCCATGTAATGTTACTCACATAGGCCTCTATAGAGGTGAGCATCATTATTTCCGTCATTCAGGTCAGGAAGACAGGCACTGAGGGGTTAAGGAATTTGCCCACATCCCATGAAGGAGCCCAGATTTGGAACTTTCCATTCCTTCAAGGTGCTCCTCTGAGATTTTAGAAATCAGGTAGAGGCTTGGTCCTCAAACTGAGGCATGTGGACCAGCAGCATCTCCTGGGAGCTTGTTAGAAATGCAGATGCTCAGGCCCTGGCCCAGGCTGCCTGCGTCAGAGTCTGCATTTGAACGAGTTTCCCAGGTGATTCCTGTGCACCTTAAAGTTTGGAAGCACTGTTGTGAAAGAGTTGAGATTAGATGAGAGAGAGTACATGTGAGAATGAGATTATGGCAAACATGCATCATTCAACAAAAATGTAAGGTCCTCACAGGGATGAGCAACGAAGAAATCTTTACTGGGAAACCTGTCCGCTGTTTCAGCCCTTTCTGAGTTCCGTTCCAGGGGTAGCCTGGTCTGAGAAGTCCAGACCTCCCAAAAGAACAGTCTTTAGATGGAAACAAATGTGTGTGTGTGTGTGTGTGTGTGTGTGTGTGTGTGTGTGTGTGTTTAAAATTCAAAGATAGCAGGATTACTTTTCTTTTTCAAAATGAAAGAAGGAAAAGTCAGGAAGAAAGAATTTAACAAAGCAAAGTGTCATCACTTTTCACTTATGTCAGGAGGGATTCCTTTATGGGAGACAGTATCCAGCATCCATCAGGTAGGGTGGCCAGTTAGGTGGGGGGAAGTTCAGTTTCCAGAATATCTTTCCAATGACGGTTGGTCCTCAGTATGGAATCCTAAGACCCATCAGAGTGAAGGCCGTTCCCCTGGCCCTCAGCTGACATTGGAGAGCGGCCCCTAAGAATGCAACCAGCTTGAGGAGTATGGAAAAGCATCGGGCAGCATCCCGAGCTGCTGGTCTTGGGGGAGCATCAGTCTGGCACAAAGAGATTCTCAATCTGGGGCCAGAATGTCCTGCAGGATCTGCTTCAGGGAAGAGTGCGGGAGGCTGTGCCTCTCCTCCTTGCTTTTTCCAATGAATTCTGCTGTGGCTGCACAGCATCCCTGGGCGAGCTGGGATTTCTTACCAGTGACTTTTAACACATGTTCTCATGTTGAAATTTGTAATATGTATGCGCTGCGTTATTTAACCCTTACAAGTCACTTTTCTGAGACCAAATCTGTTTGTAAAGTGTACATTCTTGAAAGAGTCAGGACACCACTTGTCAACAGCCTCCCAAGCCTTCATTTACGTTCATGGCCCCAGAAAGAGCCAATCGGGAATATCACACAGACCTGATCCCGGCCTTTGAGAACTCGTACGGGAAGGCAGACTTAGTGACACATAAATTAATGTCCTGGCTGCAGATGTCAATCCAGATGTGGGTACACATCTGCTAAATCAGAAACTGTACATACTAATTGACATACCAAAGACCCTGAGGTCCTGTCATTTTAACTTGGGGTTCTTCCACCACCCTCCGCCCTGATCTTCCTGTATTGGTGTCACTTCAGACTAGCCAAATTAGAATAGGCTAAACCAATTTTTTCATAGTCTTTCCCTCTTCCTCCCTATTTTTTTCTTAAATTTTCAAAAGTCTGGAAGAAGGGGATTTAGGTCAGGATGATACCATCATTTTGTCACTTCTAATTTCATTCTGTTAACAGTTTTTTGAAACATGTAGGTAGAAGCTTTGATTTTGAAACATCATGCACTTTTTAAGTTTTGACTCCCAACAGTAAAATTTCAGATCAGTTGTAAAAATTCTCAAGAGTGAATATGAAAGAGGAACTGCCTAACCAGTCTCCCCTAGAGACCTGGAGTCCTCACTCCCTTCCCAGCCGCCTGATTTCAGAGTTACAGAAATTTAAGCAGGTGCTGGGGGTGAAGGCGAACTGGAAAAAGCAACTGGTTCCAAACCAGACTGGAAAACAGCCCCGCTGTCTTCTCCTCTCTCCCTCCACACACTGACTGATGCCTTCTGTCACCTGGAGATGAACTGGGGAAGGCTGGTTATTGACAGCTGGGCAATTTACACAATAAAGTTTAACAGTTTACATCCCCTTGTCTGACTTTGTCGATGTTTTCAATGGATCACCTTCTCAGGAGCCAGGACTGACTCTCTCCTTCTTCTCTCTCTTTCCCTTCCAGCATGCAAACGCAAAGAGCAAGAACCAAACAAAGACAGGAACAATTCCCAGAAGAAATCCCGCCTGGTGTTCACTGACCTCCAACGCCGAACACTCTTCGCCATCTTCAAGGAAAACAAACGCCCATCAAAAGAGATGCAGATCACCATTTCCCAGCAGCTGGGCCTGGAGCTCACAACCGTCAGCAACTTCTTCATGAACGCCCGGCGCCGTAGCCTGGAGAAGTGGCAGGACGACCTGAGCACCGGGGGCGCCTCGTCCACCTCCAGCACTTGTACCAAAGCCTGATGGAAGGACTCTCAGTTGGGCACAAGTCATTTCCAAACGAGTAAAACACATACCAAAAGAAAACACAAAGGAAAAAGACACTGGATTCTTAGCTGGGGCCCTTCACTGGTGATTTGAAAGCACAATTCTCTTGGAAAGAAACTTCTAGCTGTAATCATAGGCCAGGTGTTCTTTTTTGTTTTGTTTTTTAATGGCTATGGAGCCCAAGTGAAAGCTGACAATGAATCTCTTTGAACCGGACTTTGTCCTCTGAGCATGCTGAGCATCTCAGAAACCCAAATGGGGCCTTCCTGGAGCAAGTTCATTTCAGTGTAGTGTCAACCAAGCTCAGGATTGCTTAAAATGTCAACAGCCCCACTTGGGGGTTTTTCAACCTCTTGCAGTCAGAGTTCTCACAAGTAACCGTGGGAATTCCGCCTGAGTTTGGGCTCCCAAGATGCTACTTTAAGAGAAGACTCTAGCAACCAGAATGACCTCATTTGATTTCCAAGTGCTTAGCCACATCACACCACATACACCAAAGTTCACAGCCATAATATAAAAAACATCAGATATGATAATTACTGAGCACAAGTATTAAATATGAAGTTAAAAACAAACAAACAAACCCAAGGACCTGTTTTTCCAACTCAGGCATCTTTTCATTGAATGGTTTTGAAAGATTTAAGTTGGTCCAGTTTACAATTTTCTTTTCTTTACCTCCTGGAAATCTAATATGGTCTTGGATCCATCAAAACAACAAATCAGTTCACTTGAGCTCAAAGTATCAAGCACAACAAAGATAAACAGAGAAGAAAGGAAGGTTTTGGATTCACCACCTCTGGATTTTCAAGACACCGATTGGGAAGTCATTAGGAATCATTGGGAATAAGGCTTCAAGCACATTTTGCAGTTTGCTACAAATTCTGTTTGTACATAATGCAGACGCACACTCAGGAGGCCACTTTAACTGTTATGGTACATGGAGCAAACGCAGCATTTTAAAAGATCTAGATTTTTTTAGATCATTAATGTGTCCTTCTTGGTTGTTAGTCACCTGGTTCCTCCTATTGTGCATTCTGACCACCACGTAACTCATTCTCACTCTTTCAGATTTGGGTTGTTCTCTCGTCCCTCCCATTGGTAGGGATGTTTTCAGTGTTTTCTTACAAGAAAAAGATAATAATTCAAACCGCCATACATGTTATGCATCTAGTCCTAAACCTCTTCCATTGTTAAGTTGTCCTAGAAAAACAGCTGAATAAAACTGGAGAAAACACAGCACACCAAAGAAGCAGAATACTGCAAACCAAAGACGTTTATTACTTGCCATTTTCTAGCCTAAATATACTGTGATTACTTTTAGAAATCAGAAAACCTCTGCAACTCCAAATGGCATTCAGCTCTTGCATTTGGCTCACCATCAGGCTGAGCAGACAGGCTATGCCAAGGACATCAGCCAAGCCACCCAGGGAGTGGCTGTCACCTTCCAACAGCAAGCAGGAGAGCGCCCACAGAACTCTGGGAGATTGCGAAGGTCACGATGTGCATATTTACCAGTGAATGGCCCCAGGTGGGCACCATGGGGGTGTTCAAAGCAAGCCAAACGCTGCAATGATTCTTTACAGACACTTGAGACTGACTTTTTTTTTATGAATTACTTAATCGAAACCAAAGAAACTTTTTCTGCACCTACTTCTGCAACAAACAAAACTGTCCCATTAAGGTGAATAAGTAAATACGTAAATCAATGAAAATCACCACCAAGAAGAAGGAAGCACGCCAGAAAAAAAAAAATACAGTGAGACACACTGTGTTCAAACAGACCTCTTGGGACATTTTTTGGAAGCAGATTTTAAAGAAAGGGTTGAGACAAGAATGGAAATAAGGAAAACGCCTCAGTGGCTGCTGCTTCATTTGACAACTCACGCAGTAATCTTAAAGTTGAAGATTGTCTTTAATTTGTGCCTATGCAGTTTTTCAAAAGAACACGGAACAGAGCAACAGAAACCTCAACAGCTACAATACCAAAGATGAGGATTTCTCACACCTTTTGTTTCAGTTCATTATCTCCTCTTGCCTGGCTAACATACTAATAGTACCATTGATCTGTATAAAGGTAATCAATTTTGTTTCTGAGCAACGAAAGGAAAGGGTCATTTATTTGATTTTATTGTTTCCCTTTCATCTTGTTTTATGGCTTTCTACCCTAATATGGAATCTCTCAAAAGGTTCTATGGACTCCAAGTTTAAGATGTTGGCATAGTGAACGACTCTCTTCTCTCTGCTCTGCAGAGTGGGGGGAATGGTAGTGTCATTTGAATGTTCTTTGCTAATCCCTTAGACTTAAGGTTCCTTCTTTGTTCAGTCTCATCATCAGGGGAGGGGAGGGGAGTGAGAGTCAGGGTTAGGGGTCTTGGTGACACATCCTCGCCCGAGCCACAGAACCAAAGAGTTTATAGAGGAATTGACAGCCTCATTTGATTGCTACATCCTAACAGGGCTTCATTTGGGGGTGGGGGGAAACATGTAAAAATAATTGCCAGTTTCTACTTTTCTATTAGCTTTTTAAAAATCAGCTGTAAAGTTGCATTTCTAAAGAAAGATATATATATATATATAATATATGAACACATATATAGACTCAACTTGACATTGGTGATAACCCCAAAATTATTGCTGCCCAAATTCATGTCTTGTTTTTATCAAGTGTTTCATTGATTAAGTATTCAGTTCAGAATTTTGCTCATTTCTCATGCCATCCCAGAGTTTGTTTACCACTGTGGATGACTTGGAGTATTCACATTTCTGTGAAAATTCTTGGCAAAGGTTGAAAGTCAAGTACAAGCTTGATAAGCTGTTGATAAATGGACCCATAGTGAAAATGAGTTTTATTTGTATTTGGAGTCATCACTCATCTCTGCCTCAACCATAATCAAGGTGGTGAGGCCCACCCGCCCCAGAACTAGGCCGGGGCCAGTCAGGTGCTCATCTTCTGGGAAGGCTCCATGGTCCATTCCCACCACTTACGGAGATGAGGCCAGCCCAGAAATCTGTTCTCCAGGAGCGTCCCAGTCCCAGGTGTTCTAGATCCTCCTCGGTGAGTAGATCTACCAAAGGGACTTCTCAAAGGGGAAGTACCTCCCATTGCAGTGGGTTAATCAGGTTTCCTCAGGGTGGTAATGACCAAATTGCGTAGACAAGCCTGTGTATAACCACAGCTGGCTCTGGGGTAAGGCAATGGTGTTGTTGGGGCGGGGGTGGGTCTCAGTCCTGGAGAGAAAATACAAAGCAGGGTCCTGCCCCTGGGAGCCCCATTGTCCCTTGTTCCACTTCTCACTCCCACCGTGTGGGTCTCCCTTCTCAGTGGCAGCAGCCATGGAGCTGTGACTCTCCTGGACTTTTGTCATTCACCCTACCTGGACTTTTCCGTGTCTCTTTGTCTCTTGCTCATACTCCATGTCTTCTTTGTCAAATGACCAAAAAAGAGCATTATTTCAGCAGGGGAACGCTCCATATTGGTTGATAAAAATGAATTTCAACTTGCATATTTCCAAATGATTCCTTGTGACTTGTGGCCAGTGGAAATGGTTGTTCTATCAAGAGTAGATTGAGCAGCCAAGCCTGCTTGGTTTGATTAGTGATTCTTTGGTACTCTAATCTCAGCATTTCAGTCTCTGGCAACATCGGAAGATGTCTACTCCAAAAGAGCAAAAATCTCTTTGTGGCCTGAGATTTCAACACTGGCCCAAATGAGGGGTAGTCACATACACCCTCTGTGTTCCTGGTGACCTGAGGAAGAGGTCATAATGTAAAAAACCAAGAACTCCCCTCCAAGGACTTTTCATAAACGTCTCACCAGAGAAATGTGTGTTTTAAAAAATTATTTACATACATACATGAATACATGTGTGTATCCATATATTTATGTATCAAAATTGTAAGCCCTACTGAATTTCAATTTGTTAAAAATCTGAAAGGGAAAAAAATCTGTACAAATTGAAAGGTAATGGAATTTGACCCATGAGTTTCCTCAAGCATTTTTAAATCTTACTTTTAACACATTGTATACGGGAAACGTATTTATACGTTTTACGTTGACTGGTAAACACAATTTCCAGTGAGTTTTCCAGTATTTGTCTGTTTAAAATTTAAGAAAAATAATTCAGTATACATTTTATAGTAAATCACAAAAAGTTTCATTGAAAAAAAAATATGTAAAACTAAAGTTATCGTAATTTTACTGAACGTTGCCATTTGCGCAAAAAATTAGCAAAAACGGCCCGCATACAATGTGTTAAATTAATAATTTCAGGAAAAAATCATTGTTTGGTCATGTTATAGTTTAGGGTCCTTTTCTTCAATCCAAAAGAAAAAAAAATTCCAGGCATGCCTCAGCCATCAGCAATGGAAGGGACAGTGTGAAGGGACAGTCCTGAACCAAAATTCACATTCTTGAGGCACCAGAAGTCCAAAGGCTATTGAGTGGAAAAATACTTTTCTTTATTCTTTACTTGTGTGTTCAATGTGATTTCGGTTCTGGGAATATAATTCTTTTATTCCAGGAATTTTTTATTAAGTGCCAATATTTTTTAAAGGAAAACAGCAACAATAATAAAAACTCAACCCCAATAATAAAGGCTTTTCCAAAATGTAAAATAGTGTGTAGGTTGTACCATTTACAGGTACCGGCGAGAATGAATCGGGAAGAACCCAGCCTGACGTTTTCTCCGGAGAGATGAGAGCGGTGGGTCCGTAGTATCTCTTTTCCTGCAGGCTCTTGACATTTATGGACTTAGAAAATTCAAGCTAATTTTCATTCAGAGCTAAAGTAAAATAAAAATTAGGAAGGCAGATCTGATACA